GGGGTAGGGGCGCTCGTGGGGTGGGGAGGGGGGGTAGGGGCGCTCGTGGAGTGGGGAGGGGGGGTAGGGGCGCTCGTGGGGGGGAGGGGGGGGGAGGGGCGCTCGTGGGGTGGGGAGGGGGTAGGGGCGCTCGTGGGGTGGGGAGGGGGGGTAGGGGCGCTCGTGGAGTGGGGAGGGGGGGAGGTAAGGGCGCTCGTGGGGTGGGGAAGGGGGGGTAGGGACGCTCGTGGGGTGGGGAGGGAGGATAGGGGCGCTCGTGGGGTGGGGAGGGGGGGATAGGGGCACACGCGGAGTGGGGAGGGGGGTAGGGGGTAGGGGTTGGATGGGGGAATGAGTGGGGTTGGGAAGTGTGGCGAGGGATAGGGGTAGGGAGGGGTAAGGGGTGGGAGTAGGGTGGTGTGGGGAGGGGTAGAAAGGGGTGGGGGGGAGGGGGGAAGGATGGGTTGGAGAAGGGGGAGGTTGGGAGGTAAGGTGGTGCGGGGAGGGGTAAGGAGGGGCGGGGATGGGGTGGGGAGAGGAGGAAGAGGAGAGGAGGAGGAGGAGGGGGAGGAGAGGAGAGGAGGAGGGAAAAGAGGGGATGGAGTAAAGGGTGTGTGGGGGGGGGGGGAGAGTAGGAGTTTTTAAAAAGTTGTCCCGTTTCTGTGTTGTTGGTAATGTTCATTTTCTGTTGCAAGTACGCATTGATTTGCCTGTCTGTCTGTCTGTCTATCTGTCGTTCAGTCGGTTTGTATATCTGTGTTTTTTTCCTTGTATTTCTACCTCTGTTTATCGTCTTCCCGCCTCTCTCTCCCTCCTTCCTTCCCTCCTTTTCTCTTTTATTTCTTCTTTCTTTTTTCATACTGTGTTGTTTGTCTGTCTGTCTGCCTATCTGTCTGTCTTTGTAACTCTTCTGTATCATCATTATAACTTTCAGTATATTTTTACACCAGTTTGACATTCACGTGTTATGTATGGCTTCTTGCAGACAATTGCAGGGAAGAAAAATTGTAATTAATGCATCGAACTTTTTTACGTAATTGTGATGTGCTCTGTGCTCATCCGTTTTTCCGTCTGTCTTTCCCTTCCCTCTCCCTCTCCTTTTCTTCCCTCACTCTCTCTCTGTCTCTCCCTCCGTCCCTGTTAGTTTGTTTGTTTGTGTCTCACTTCTTCTGTCTCTCAGTGTGTGCTTGTCTCTTACTCCATCTCCGTTTATCTGTTGAACTTTCTATTTCAATCTCAGTCTCTCTGTATCTTATTTTTGCTCTGCCTCATCTCCCCTCGATTACATACTCCCTCCTCTATTCCTCCTTTTCGTTCCTCCTCCTGTTCTTACCTCCACTCGCCTACTCCTCTGGCTTCTAACCCTAAGTCTTCTTCCATCTCCCTTTCTCCCCCTCATCCAGTTCCATTCGCCTCTCTCTTTATCCACCATTTGTCACCTCTTCCTCTTCTCCTCATCCACCTCCAATCCGCCTCTCCTCATCCGCCTCACCCCTTCCTCATTCACGTACACAATACCACCTCTTCTTCCTTTTCTCATCCACCTCACATTTTTCCAACCCGTTCTTCCCTCATCCTATCCTCCTCGTCCTCCTCTCCCTCTTTCGGGACAACTTCAGCGCGAAGTCGTCCTCGTCCTCCACCTCCGGTCCTCACAACCTCTTTCTCTCCCCCCAGGACAAGGCCGGTGCGGCGCCCCTGCACGACGCCGCCTCCGAGGGCATGGAGGACGTGATCACGGTCCTGACGGGTCGCGGCGCCTCCCTCAACGCCACCGACCACGACGGCAACACGGCCCTGCACGTCGCCGCCAAGTGGGGCCACAGCCACACCGTGCTGCAGCTGCTGGACCTCGGCGCCCTCGACTCGCTCAAGAACAAGGACCATCTGCTCTATTCGGACCTGGTGAGGGGGCGAATAGCGGCTAGGGGGAGGGGATGGGGGGGGGGGAGCTTTTAGGGGGGGGGGGTTGAGGGGGTAGAGACGGGGTGAGGGTAGAAGGTGGTGGGGTGCTGAAGGGGTTAGGGTCGGGGCAGGGTGGGGTCGTCGAAAGGGGGTGGGGTAGGGGGGCGTAAAGGAGTTGGGATTGAGGAGAAGGCGGAGGTGAAGAAGGAGGAGGAGGAGGAGGAGACAGAAGTGGGAGAAGACGAAGGAGGAGGGAGAAGAATGAACGAGAAGGAAAAGGAGTAAGGGAAAGAGGCGTAAGAGGGAAGAGATGTTTAAATGAGAGGGGTAGGGAGGGTGAAGAGGGGGGGGGGGGTAAAGGGAGATAGTTAGGCTAAAAATGAAAACGCAGTAACCAGTTAAAGATGAAGTTAAAAATAGTGAGAAGAGGTGGGGGGGGGGAGGATGAGGGTGATGGCAAGGGATATATAACTGAGGAAATTGAGGCTTGATTATAGAGGGGAAAGTTTGTATATTGGGCGAAGACAAGAAAGGAGTTTTAAAAGTTTAATTAAGAAAGAGAAAAAGTCCTTTATGATTTATTCACTTACTTTTATCTAATTAACTATTTACCGATTCATTCCTCTAGCACTTTATTTATTTTTTTATCTAATTCATCTTATTATTTATTTTTGCAAACAGAAGACTAGGGAGTAGAAATAGTCAATAAAAGTAATCGTCAAAAGAATCGATAATCGGATGAAAATCAAACTGATGACTTAGGTTCGAGGAAATCAAGTTGATAACGAAGGGTTTATCGCCGAGAGAAAACATCATTACCGAGCAAAAATCTAATTAAGTTGATTATCACCGTCATAATGAAGGATCGACTTTGTTTATCTCATCCTGGAAATTTGCATATTGTCGTTAAGTCATTATTCGTCAGGGAATAAACGTAATTTTTGGAATCAATAAGTGTTTGATCATCTGCTTCACTTCATAATTAATAAATATAGTTTAAAGTGAAGTTTATTTAGACGTTCTGGTTTTTATTGAAGGTCTTCGTATAAATCACTCCAGAGGAATATATATGTATGTTTATATTTGCCTGTCTATATTTATACATTTCTTATTCATTTATATATCACATCAATCCGTAACTATCTGCATATCTGTGTATAAGTTTATCTAAATCAATATGTATATATCTATGCATCTACATCTACTGATATCTATTTATATATATATATATATATATATATATATATATATATATATATATATATATATATATATATATATATATATATATTTTATTTTATTTGTTTATATCTGTCCATTCATCTGTAAATAACTTTATCTATATTTATATCTGTTTATCTGTGAAAACAAATAAAACCTGTTTCTTCCCAACAGGCGCTGGTGCGTGCGGTGAGGACAGGCAATAAGAGCGAAGTCATGTCTGGATTAGCATGGGGAGGTGACCCTAACAGCCGTGACAGTCGTGGCTGGACGCTCTTGCACCATGCTGTGTATAAGGTTGGTTGTTTTTTTTCTTTATCTTTTTTTTTTTTTTTTGTGGTGGTGGGGGGGGGGGGTATTATTAACACAAGATTGTTTTGTTATGACTTCAGTAACACTTGGTTTTATTTGTTTGATTAATTTCATGTGGTTGTCAACATTATCATAATAATGATAATAATAATAGTAATAATGATAATTATTATTGTCGTTATTATTAGTAGTAATAGTGTTAGTATTATCATTATTAGTATTACCATTATTATTATTATCATTATCATTATTATTATTATTATTATCATTATCATTATTATTATCATTATTATTATTATTATTATCATTAGTAGTAGTAGTAGTAATAATAGTAGTAGTAGTAGTAGTAGTAGTAGTATCATTATTATCATTATTATTATAATTATCATTATTGTCATTATTATTATCGTTATTATCATTATTATTATCATTATTATTAATACTACTAGTAGTAGTTTTGTCATTGTTTCATCATTATCATTATTATTATTATCACTATTATTATTGTTATTATTACTGTTATGGTCATCTTCATTATCATTATTATTATTATTATCATTATTATCATTATTATCATTATTATCATTATTATCAATATCATTATCATTATTAATTTTTATTATTATTATTATTATTATTATTATTACCATTATTATTATCATCATTGCTGTCATTGCTATCATTACTATCGTTATTCTCATTGATATCATTATCATTATTATTAGTACTAGTAGCAGTAGTAGTAGTACTATTATTATCATCATCATCATCATCTTTAGAAAAGGTATGAATGAGAATGAATATATTCACAATACAAGAGATATATTTGACCGGTTTCTTTTAAATACAACTTGTATTATGAAGATATTCATTCTCATTCACACCTTTTTCTACATTTGTTGACATCATGAATACGGTTCATTATTATCATCATTACCATCACGTGATGTATTAATGAAAAGATTACTCTTAAAGGAGAATAATACTCCGAAATATAATGTCTCACGGACGCGAAATTTCCACTGCGTACCATAAATCAATCGATGTACCTTGAGGGATGAGAAAATCAGTCTTTGATAAGATTAATGCGGAATCAATTTATACTACTTTATTTCAATGTCCCGGGTGTTAGGAGCTTGATCAAACCAGATTAGATGTGAAAAAAGTGCATGTAATCTAACATTAACCGAGCTCGATCTAACTACGAAATTTATGGGTAGTAAATATTCGAATTAGGCTGATTTCACTGAAGACATACTATCGGATCCACTTTTCCAACGTGGACGTGCATATTCGCAACAAAACGAGAACTATAATTTGTTCCTGCTCTAAGTTGGATAGAAATATGTCTTCGTGTGTCTGCGTATGCTTATGTATGTATGTGTTTCTATATATGTATATGTCTGTGTTACTGCTTGTTTGGGCGTATCTAATGTGTAGTTATTTTGACCCTGGAGCAGAGACACCGAGTGAATCTACTTTAAGTAATTGATACAGTTACCTAATACACAGACATATACATTCTGACGCACTATGATGTTGCTACAGCGTATTAACAGCCGTAGATTGGACGGCAGTCACTT